ACTGGAGCCTTTATGTTGCTCTCGTGCAGGTGGTACTTCACTGGAAAAATCTGTCCTTTTGGGGAATCATTTAATTTTTGGAACTCCCAACATAAGGCATGCATTTCTACTGCAGAGGCTGGTTCAGTTACAGAAAATCTGTCCATGTGGACTTTTGCAGGAAATCAGCAAACTGCAGCATTGATCATTAAGTGTTCTGATCTTTTTATACTGAAAATAAGAGGAGCTTTTCCCTTGAAGTATTAGAACATCACATCTTCCTGTGTAGGACCTAAGGTCAAGCTGACAACTGCCCTTTGTTTGCTCCCAGCGGGAAAAGAGCAATTGCCTGTAGGCTGCCAAAGGCAGGGCTCCTTGTGGATGACCCAAAGGGTGGCTTTCTTGGGGGGCCAGCTGCAGGTGGCTTTTCCTGCCGGAAGGCATTGCTCCCCCCCCACACTCTTTGGCACACCGGGCTGGTGTGGATTTGACTTGATTGCTGCCTATCTGTTTTATTGTGTAATCACATCCTTCTTCCTCCTCCCTCTCCCCCTCTCCTTCCAGTTTTAGGTCTTGGTTGCAGCAAGACTCTCTAAGCTATTGCCAGAAATATATTGAAAAGTTGAGGCCACGGAGGAGGAGTGCAAAGAGGTGCCACACTGCAGCTCCATGTCTGGCAGACGCCACGCTAGTGAAGATGCTGCAGCACTGAGTGGGAGTTACCTGTGCCACCCTGGTGCGGGTGCTGCCAGCCAAGGGCACAGGGTGAGCACAGCCCAACCAGGAGGCCTTGGTCTGTGGCATTGCTGCAGATGTGCTGCTCTCTCTTCAGCCACGGGAAGCAGAGGGCTTCCTCGGAGGCAAACCACAACAATGGGGAGTGGCAGCAATTCACCAAGTCCTGGCAGAGGGCTTCGAGAACATGGCTTCTTAACTTCAAGGATGGTGTTGCTTTGATACAGGACAAGCGGTTGCTCTCCCTTCCTCTGTGTAAGATGCAGCATCCTGAAGTGAGGAAGAAGATGCAGAGAGGCCCATGATATTCCTTTGAGTCAGAGCAGTCCCACTCTCCTGCCTCCAAAAAGAAAAGGGTCACCTTTTCTCTGGACAGAGACATTTTCAAAGCAGTTTTTTTAAAAACTCAAACAGAAAGGAGGCCCTGTGAGCGCTGCAGCAGACAGCTTTTCTTCTGCAATCAAAGGTCTGGAGTTCCAAAAGGTGAAGGATCTTGTTTTTGTAAGAGGACCCAAAGGAATCGTCTCTGGTGCTGCCTGGCTGGTCTGCCCCTGGTACTTGCCATTCACTTGCTGTTGGACTTTCATGACCTTTGTCTCAGAAATATTCAGAGAACCAGCAGAAAGTCTCGTAAAGTCAAACTCTTGGCCAGCCCTGGGCTTCTCTTCCCTTGTCTCTACTCTCTGCTCCCCGCCTCCTCCCTCCTCTTTGCATCTTTTCCGTTTTCTGCAGCAGTGCAAAGGGAGGGACCTTTTCCTCATAGCCCGCCATGAAGTTTTCCTTGCGCTTCTGGTTCCTCTCCACAGCTTTTCTGCTTGTCTTTGTCATGTCGCTGCTCTTCACTTACTCCCACCACAGCATGGCTTACCTGGATCTCAGTGGGCTGAATGGCCTCCACCGGGTGAAGCTTGTGCCCAGTTATGCTGGCATGCAGCGCCTGAGCAAAGAGGGGCTCTTGGTAAAGAGGTGTGCTTGCCACCGGTGCGCCATCGAGTCCATTGACACGTCTTGGTTTGACAACCGTTATGACAGCAACATCTCCCCAGTGTGGACCAAAGAGAATGTGGATTTGCCGCTGGACGTCCAGAGGTGGTGGATGGTGAGTCCTGTCTGGGAGCAAGAAGCCCCACGTGCTCTTTGCCTGAAACAGGAGGAGGTCCTTGGTTCCCTGCGGGAAACTTGAGGTCAATGCCTTGTTGGGCATTTTTGCAACATGTAAAACCCTTCTGAAATCCTCTCTTTTACAACTGGACCTACTGTGTGGCAAAAGTATGACCAAACTCTCTTTTTTGTTATTTAAACTGTATACAGTGTGCAAAAAAAGCACTTCCTGACCCACTGTTCCATCTCTTCCATCAATAATTCGACCTACCTTGTGCGTATAACATGTCTCTACGCAATTAAATTCATGCCCTCTTTTTTCTTGTGCACCTCCAGTCACACAAGCATTTCCCTTCATTTGAGATTGTGGAGCTAACCTGTGTTGATAAGGGTTTTTTTTTCCTTTTGTGGCAAAAAAACAAAAAGGCAGAAGAATTAATGGGAAAGGGCAGGGATTAGAAGCAGAAGGTCTCTTGAAAACAATGTAGTTAGCTAATTTGCTCTGATGATTTGGTATCATGTCTTTTACAATGAGCCAAATGTTGCAGCAAAGACAAAAATGCAGAGGGCAAAATATGATAAGAGGGAATAAGGAACCACCGAATCAGACTCTTGTTGGAAGGGAGCATCTTTCTTCTCTGAAGACTAAGAGCATTTGTAATACTGGCGCAGTATTGGCCAGTCGTTTGCTTTGGTTTAGACTGATGCATTCCTGGTTTGTAGCTTCCCATTGAGAGCCATTTTGGTGCAGCGATTAAAGGCGCTGGGCAAGAAATAGAGAGACCCAAGTTCTTGTCCTCCGTTAAACATGAAGCCAGCTGTATGGCTATGGGCCAGTCACTCCCTCTTGGCCCCAGATGGGGAAGTCGAGGAAAAAAACCCCAGACTTCCTAAAATGTTGCATGCAACTGCTCCCTTGGGGTCAAGATGGACTTGAAGCACTAGGACACTGCCACCACTTCCATCTTTCCCGTGACTTTGTGTCTCAAGCTGCCAGGACCACAGGCTACGCCAGGGCTCACCCGAGCTTTTTGTGTCATCATTGTCATCTATTAGTAAATGCCATATTTGCTATTGCACATGACTCAAAGCTTCTTGGTTGCTAAAGAATAAAATTGCCAGTCGTGTCACCCAGTTAATATTATCTCAGAGCAGGAATCAGACAGATGCACTTGGGGTAACCATTTTATTTTGCTGAAATCTGAGAAAAAATATTTCTTGTGGGTCATCAGATATTAATGACACAGCGTGCTCTGCCTTCAAATACTCTTTTACAAAGACAAAACACTAACAATTAGCTAGAGAATTGCTGTAAAAGCACAGGCAAAAGACATTTCAGTACTATAAAGCCTGTCCTGTGGAGTACAACCCAAGTATCTAGATTTCTAGTAGTCAGTCTCAACCAGAGGAGTACAACTGTAATTATGATGTTTAGATCAGATAAGATCTCTCTATTACATGCCAACTTCATTAGCTGCAGCTTTGACAAATGATGACCTTCATCCTAGTCAGGTCCTTTAAGTGAGTCTAATGCCCACAAGCAGAGCAGCCCTTCAGTTGGCTTTGTGAACACATGAGGTGAGGTGTGAGCATGCCAGCAGTGTGACTTTGGGAGCCAAGCTTGGATTCAGGCAGTCAGGATTGGTAGAGAGAGGGTAATGGAATACTTGATGACTTTGCTGGGCAAAGGCACTGGACTAGAAACCAGGAGACCCTGAGTTCTAGTCCTGCCTTGGGCATGAAGCCAGCTGGATGACCTTGGGCCAGTCACTTTCTCTCAGCCCTAGGAAGGAGGAGGCAAGGGCAAACCACTTCTGAAAACCCTTGCCAAGAAAACCACAGGGACTTGTCCATGCAATCGCCAAGAGTCAACGCTGACTCAAAGGCGCATGTGCGTGCGCACACACAGACAGAATTGCAAGAATCCAAGTTAAGAGCCTTCCTGACAGATGGTCACCTGGTTTCTGCTTGAACCCACCTAGTAAAGAGCTAATTGCATGATTGTTGATGTTCTGCTTCCCATCTATTTATGCAGTTGTATCCTGCTTTGGATAGCTCTCACAAAGTGAGTGCAAGAGGCAGGTTGGAGAGGAAGAGCTGGGGGTTGCAGATGGAGCTTCCTTCCTTAGGCTGGAAAGCTCCAAATGCTGATTTTATACGCTAGGCTTTTTTATGATAAGCATGCCTCCTTGTATGAGACCCCACTGTGTCGCCTTTTTCGCTTATTCACGTTCTCTGTCCTTCCTTGGTTATCACCCCATTTTCTAGGCTTGCTCCTGTTAATATGGATATTTTGAGTACTCTCTGCAAGCCAAGGTGCATCACTCTGATGGGGTTTAGTAGAGAGGATGTTCTTCTTTTAGAGTCACTGTCTCTGGGCCCTCAGTTTGGGTAAAGGAATGGAACGATACCTGGTGGCTTGGGATTCTGACCAGGTAAAATTTGGCTCTACTGTTTCTCTGCCAGCAGAGGGCAGTCCTTGTCCACCTTTTCTGCCACTACTTCTACTTTCCCTTGGATGCCTCTGGTCCCGTCCAACCTCACTATCCCAACCGTCAAGATCAGTGTTGCCTCAGATAGGGGGCACCATTGCCTCCAAATCCCAGATGTGGGGGAGCAGTGGCTGGGAAGGAGTACGTCTCCGCCTACTTGTGAGCCACCCCCAGAAGCATCTGGTTGGCTGTTGTGAGAAAGAAAACACTGAACTAGGGCGGGCCTTGACCTAATTCAGTAGAGCTAGTCTTACATTCTTAACAATTCTTCAAATGCAATTGCCTTTCAACAAGCAAACTGTATTATGATAATCTGAAGAGGGTACCTTGCAAAGGAGACCCTGTTCTCTAAACTTCTGGCTTTGGAAATTACTGGTTGTGGACCATTTCATTGTAACTGAGTGGAGATGTGCCCAAAGAAGAGTCTTTTCTCTGCCTTTTAAGGTTCTCTGTTTTATTCTGGGTTTATTCTGCCAAAATAATCAACAGTGTGTTCAGTGCCTGTGACACAAGTTCACCCCTCCTGTCCTCTCCCTCAAAAACCCACCCAGGCCTCTTCAGTTGCTGCAAATGGTCCAACCTTTTCTACAGATGCTGCAGCCCCAGTTCAAGTCCCACAACCTTAATGAAGTGTTGAGCAAGCTCTTCCAGATTGTTCCTGGAGAGAATCCGTACAGCTCCCGGGAGTCCCAGTCCTGCCGGCGCTGTGCCGTAGTGGGCAACTCAGGGAACCTGCGAGGCTCCAGCTATGGCCAAGAAATCAATGGACATGACTTCATCATGAGGTGAGGAACAAAGTGGTGGGGCATGGAAACCTTCATCTAGTCATGGAAAGGAGGATCTGGCAACTGTGGGTGTGTATGCAAGCAAGCAAGGTGAAATGTTCATCACGGCTTTCATTATGCAAGCGCTGTATTGCCATTTGAATCATCTTATAGGAATTTGTATGAAAATGTATTGATCCATTCAAAACGGGCACAGAACAACTGAACTGGTTTCTCAGAATGTTTTCTTAGCGTTTCATCTGAAATCAAAAAGAATGATTAAATGTTTGTGTCCTTCAATTAGATGGGACCAAATCTTTTTTTTTTAATAATAACTTCATTATTTTTTTAAAAGAGCAATAACTAACCAAAACTAATATTGAGAATAAAAAAGGAAAGAAAAAGAAAAAAGAAAAAGAAAAAATGCTAAAAGAAAAAGAAAAACAGCAAAGAATTGACTTCTGACCCACCCCATAACAGATACAAGTGACAATGTACATCAAACTCTTGCTTTAAGTTTACTACATAATTTCCATTATTTCTATTAACCCATACTCTAATCATCAAACCTATACAACATAATTTCATTTTTGTATATCCCACAAAAAATCCAAAAAAAAAAATCCAATTAACACTAATATTACCCTATGTCTTATCGCAAATCAAAACTCTCAATTTCACCATCATGGCCAACTCTATCAGCCTCAGAAACCATTGTTTCGCTATCGATAATATCTTTTCTTTCCACCTCTACACATTAAAAAACCCTCCTGCTGTTATCATATAGAGAAAATAAAATTATAAATAATATCATATCCTTCCACCTTTATCCATATAAGCCAAAATTCTTAAAACATTATTATTCAGTCCTGGTCATAAAAACAAACCCCATGAATAATTATCGAGAGCCACAGCATATATGTTAACCATAGTCCAATAAACTCACTTTGTAAACCTGTACAAGTAAAATGTATAGTCAGATATAGTTAATTACAAGTGAAAGTAAACTGCAGTTCACGCCCTCTAGTGCCTTTCAAGCTGAAATGGCAGTTGTGTGTGCTCAGCTTCAAAGGGATCCCATAGGAATCAAGTTACAGTCTAGCTCTGTTTCTAAAGCCCCCTCAATCACCGGACAGAATTGAACAAAACAAGAAACTTTCCCATAGAACAGACAAACCTTGTTGCTGCAGATGGAGTTTCGTGAAAAAATAAACTTTTAACAAATAAATCTTCCTTTTTCACTATAAGTAGATTTTAAGTCTCGTTTAAACTCCACTTCTCCAGCTTTTTGCAAATTAATCAGCTTAATTTAAAACTCTATTTCTCCATTTAAAAATATAG